TTTTTTTTTTTTGAGGTGTGTAAACCAGTGTTGCTGTATGTGCTGAAACATAAGATTTATTTCTGCAATTTATGTTTATCTTTTCAACCTACACGCCCGAATAAACAATAAAAGAAAGCAAACAAAATGTCAGTGCTAAAATCACATCATGCAAAACAGCAAACATCATTCAACCATTTTGCTTAACGCACTCCCTGCTACTCAGTTGCAGCCAGTAACCCACCTTGTACAGCATAACCAGCATTTGGTAAACTCCACATCAGTGTCTGGGACTTGATGGAGTCTTCCTGCCTCCCCCAACCCCAACCCCTGGACACCAAGGAAAGGGGACAGAAGCAATGCTGATCCTCACTTTTCCATTCAGGAGAAATTGACAGCGCTTTTTAGGTTTCTATTTGAAAACATACCATGAGGACTAGCGACCTGTCTTTGGTGCTGTGCTTTAAAACTACCATGTAATTGCGGCTGCTCTCTTTCTAGCCTCTGTTGGCTATGGAGAGTCCTAAGATAGGGCAGAAAGGGAAGAGTCTGTGTGGGCAATGCTGAAGGATGCCAGGTAGTTTTGTCCATAAGTGCAAATGTGTCTCTGCACAAGCACCCTGATGCCAAGCTGCTGAAAATAAAGCTGTCACTGGGGCAGTGTTTACACTTCCTTTGAGTTATTTGAGTAAACCAAAGAGGACAAACTGAATCACTGGCATTTTGGCCCGTTCTGCTGAACCCTCCGTGGACAGACCGCAATCTCTGAGTCATTTGTCCTCTTGTGTTTGCTTAAATAATTCAGCAGCAATGTAAATATCCCTCACTGAGCTCCTATTCCTGGGCCGTCCACGCAATGCTCTTTGCACATACTAAGTTGGGCGCCTCATCCCACATGCTGGTGTGCAGAGGAGTTTCATTCCTTCCACCACAGCAGCTACAGCTTAGGCGGCCAACAAGTGGGAACAGTGACACTGTCAAAATCTGAATTGGCTGAGGATGCAAAATCTAGACAGCTTGCAAAGCTCCTCTCAAAGAGGAAAAGCTCTTCTCCTGTACAGATTTTTAATCCAAGAGGCAGAAGAGGGGTGGAGAGCCTTCTCCAGGCTTAAGGCCTCACTCCCTTCCAGGCAACTTCCTTTGGGGGGGGCACACATCTGTGGTGTCATTTTGACACCCAGGCAATTTCAGAGCTCTAGGACACCGTCCAGCCAGGCAGAGATACTCAAGGAGAGTGGGGTGCTGGGCTGGTGAGGGGGGTGGTCTGGGGAACACTCTGCGGGCCAGACAGGGTGGTCTGGGGTGTGTGTGTCTGCACCTGCCCTTCCCCCAAGCCTGAGGCTTCACATCCCTATAAGGGGGAAGAATCTAAATGCCTCCTTCCAGGCTTCTTGCTACCCCACCCGCTCCCAGGTAGGCAGGGTGAGAGGTCTTGGGGTAGGAGTCAAATCATATCCTCACATAACGGGGGGTGTGACATGGTCTAAAATGGGCTTGGGGAAAACAATCCTTTCTAGTCAGTTTTTAAAATGCAATTCCCAAATCTGAGCAAGGCTGCAGGAATTTGCCCCATCATGAGGCGGGAGACAGGGATAAAGTCCTGCTATGGAGGGAGGACTCCATAATGTGGCCAGCCATGGTGGGCTGCCTGGTCAGCCGATCAGCACTGTTCGAAAGCCTCTCTTGCCAAGGAACAGTCAGGAACACTTTCAGGTAGCTGTGGAGAGCATTTGGCTCTCTAAATGTACATGAACTACAACTCTCACCTTCCCTGGCCATTAGCCATGCCTGCTAGGGCTTGTAGGAGTTCTAGTTCAACAACCCTCACATCTGCTTTAAGGCTTCAGATAGTGCCTTGGTAGGTGACATCAGGTGTGGTTTGGGGGGAAGCATAAAAACCTCAGAAGAGCCTGCTGGGTGAGGCCAATGGTCCATCTATTTCAGCATCCTCTTCTCACAGGGGCCAACCAGATGCCCCAATGGGAAACCCACAAGCAGGACCCAAGCCCAAGAGCAGCCCTCTCCCCTCCTGTGGCTCCCAGGAACTGCCATTCAGAAGCCTCGCTGCCTTCAGCCGTAGAGGCACAGCAGAGCCATTGGAACAGCAGAGCCATTGGTAGCCTTACCCTATGGTTACCAGACATCCCCAGTTCCTGGGGACAGTCCCCGGATTTACAAATCTGTCCCCGGACAAAATCCACCCCCAGAATGTCCGCGGATTTCATTGAATGTCCCCGGATTTATATTTTAAGTGTTGTGGATTTATTAGTAGGGAATGAATGTTGTGTGATTGGTTCAACGGCACAAGACACATCATATGAGGACTTAAGGTGAGGCAAAATGGCGGGCGCCACGGCAGCGAGCAGCTCCTGAAGCCAGCCAGATCCAACTGTGCTACCAGGCTGGCTCCAGGCTGCTGAGGCTGTTGCTGCCGCTGCTACATCAAGTGGGGAAACCGCTGACCCCCCTCCCCGCGACCCAAATCGAGCCGGGCACAAGAGCACCCAGCCACCTGGCCAACTGCCCAGCGGCGCTTCAGGGCCAGGAAAACCCCGGAGCTGATGCGAGGAGAAGGAGGAGAGGAGAAGGAAGAGAGAGAAAGAAGAAGGAGAAAAAAGAGGGGAGCCCCAAACTTGCTGCGCCGCCACCGCCGCTGAGGTGGAGAGGTAGGAGATCACTGGGAGGGCAAGGACATGTGGCCGAGCCCAGGCCTGACCCGAGCCTACTCCACAGCAGCTAGCCCAGAGGAAGGCTGCGCGACAGAGGAGACCACAGAAGAGAAGATATTGCTTATTCTTTTTTAAAATAACTTCTCTCGCTCTCTTTTTTAAAAAAAGTGTCCCCGGATTATTTGAAAAAATCTGGTAACCTCACCTTACCCTCCATGAATAGGTCTAATTCTCTTTGAAAGCCACTCAAGTTGGTGGCCATGACCACTTCTGGGGGGAGGCACTTCCATAGTTTAACTCCTTGCTGAGTGAAGGAGGACTCCCCTTTCTCTCTGGGTGCCCATGAATTGCAGTGTTGCGAGAGGGGAGGCGGCTTTTCTCTATCTACTTTCTTCATGCCACACGTAATTCTGTAGACTTCTATCATGCTGCTTATTCCTCACCTTTTCTCTAAATTAAAAAAAATCACCTGGATCATTTTGGTTGCCCTTTTCTGAACCTTTTCTACATCTAGAATACCCTTTCCAGATAAGGGGATCAGAGCTGTCCACAGAATCCCAAATGAGGCTGCACCCTAGATCTGTAGAATGGCATTGTGATATTAGCAGGAAATGACCTCACGAGCCAAACTGGTCCATGGGCTGGAAGTTCCTCATCTTTGGTTTAGACAACTATTGTCTAACTATTTCCCCATGCCCTTAAATCCCATGCTACAGGGAGGAACTTGCTCATACCCAGAGGTCTTTATGCAAACATGCCTGATTCAATCTCTGCTGACTTTTTAAAGCTGCTCTCTCATATCTGTAAATGGGTGGGCAGGTCCATACAAATGCTAAAGAATCCTTGATTAAATTGTGATTAATGAAGCATCTCAAATTTCACAGCCCATTAAAGAATCACTGAAGAATATTAGCACCAACAAACACCTTAAGAAAAGCCACCCAAAGGGCATATAAATAAAGAGAAAGGCAGGATAGATATGCCTAGGATTGCCATGCCTGGCATACCGACACAGGAGGGAGAATTTCAAGAGAGGCAGCTTCTCCCAGCAAGATGAAGAAGCAAGAGTCTGTTGAAATCTGCCCTTCTGCTAGGGGTAGAGAGAAAGCACTGAAAATGCACAAAAGTGACCTAGTCATTCAGGAATGGGGAACCTTAGGCCAAAGTTCCCTGTGAAGATGGATTGATTTAATAATCTGGGAATTGTGGCTGGTTGGGGGAATAGGGGGTCACCTAACACCTTTCAGCCCCCTTAACAAACGACTCCTCCCATAATTGTTTTGGGGAAGCCATGATTGTTAAAAGTAGCATCATAGTGCTTTCAGTGTATCGCTTGGCTGTGGCCAACATCAACTGAGCCACCACCATAATTGGGAATATCGACAGAAGATCCACCAGATCTTAGGTTGCAGGAAGGGTGGCATGGGAGGAGGCAGTCCCTCAAGTATCCTGGACTTAAGACATTTTGAACTTTAAGGGCCATCATGATCCATGATCCCAAGATCCATTACCTCTGGTACCTTTAGTCAAGCCTTCTGCATGGAAATAAACTGGTACTCTCTGATGAATGGTGACTCTCATCATGAACCCATCAGGGCCTTCAGGGGAGGTACGTGCGGACAGAAGCAATTGATAATTAACTCCTTCCATCACACAACCTTAATGAGGTAGCACAAATTTGGTCCTAATGAACATAGGTTTAACGAAGGCGGCCGCCTCCAGGTAGTGGTTTTGTTCCCTAATTCTTTTCCAGCCTTTTATGGGTTAGAATTAGAAGAAATGAGAATGTTATTGCCCAATTAGAATTGCTTAATGACCACCCTGTTCATTATTCTTCTCCAAGCAAACACCACGTGCCAAAGTGAAATACTTTCTCCTCCCCTTTCAGTGCAGCATGCTGGGAAATCCTGCTCACCTCCTTGCTGTCTCCAAGCAAAGCAGCAAGGAGTGGGGAGACTGGATGTGTCGCCCTCCAGCATCCCTTGCAAAGTACTGTCTGTGGTTACAAGGAGGATGTCTGACGAAACTGAATATTGGAAGATTCAGGACAGATAAAACAAGGAGTTATTTATGTTGGGTTTTCTTAATATTGATGTGATGTTTGTAATTATAACCTGCATGGCAGCACATCTGTGAGCTCTTGACAATTCAGCACATCGGAGGTATCCTAACAATTTAACTAATTAGCAGGGGGAGTTTACCTGCTGTACTGAATGCAGCAATGTGATAGGGTAATTGATTATTTGAAAACTGTATGTAAGTTGATCAAATGCTGTAGTGTGAACTGTTGAGGAATGGTGGTGAGAAGGGGTGTTTTGCAGCTGTTGATTTATTATATATTCAAAAATTAAAAGTGGCAAAGATATTGCAGGCAAGTTTTTATTCCATTGCCCCAGTCGCTGCGCAAACTCGGTTGGCTCAGATGCCCAACAATTTTGTCATGCAGCGCATGGCTGGACTATGGAACTTCCAAAGGAGGTGGTGATGGTTGCCAACTTGGAAGACTTCCAAAGGGGGTCAGGCAAATTCATGGCGGATTCAGCTGTGGATGGCTGCTAGTCAGGATGGCTCTGCTCTGTCTCCACTGTCGGAGGTGGTATGTTCGGAGAGAGGTTCCTGGGAATGACAAGGGGGCAGAGGGCTGCTTAGGTCCAGTTTGCAGGCTTCCCTCAGGCTGCTGGCTGGCCATTGTGAGAACAGGAGGCTGGACTACATGGGCCACGGGCCTGATCCAGCAGGACTCTTCTTATGTTTTTAAGTTCTCCTGATTTGTTTTGTTTTCACCATCCGTGGCAACTGATCCCTGAGGAAGAAAGGTTAAAGTGCTTGCGGGTTTTCATTTTAGAATAAAAGGCAGGTGAGCAAAGACATGAGCCAGGTGTATAAAATTATATCTGATGTGGAGCAAAGGTCACCAAAGAGATGCTTGCCGTTTGCCCACCAGCATCTCCTGTGCCCCCCCCCAGGACCCCGTCTAGATGCCTCCGAAGTGCACTAGGCATAAGATGGGTTGCTCTGCCTGCTCAGTCCTGCTTCACTGTACGAAGCAGGAAAAGTCCTGTCCAGGAAAAGGGACAGCTCTCTCTGGCTTTCTAAGGACTCCGTGTCATAGAATCATAGAATCATAGAGTTGGAAGAGACCACAAGGGCCATCGAGTCCAACCCCCTGCCAAGCAGGAAACACCATCAGAGCACTCCTGACATATGGTTGTCAAGCCCCTGCTTAAAGACCTCCAAAGAAGGAGACTCCACCACACTCCTTGGCAGCAAATTCCACTGTTGAACAGCTCTTACTGTCAGGAAGTTCTTCCTAATGTTTAGGTGGAATCTTCTTTCTTGTAGTTTGGATCCATTGCTCCGTGTCCGCTTCTCTGGAGCAGCAGAAAACAACTTTTCTCCCTCCTCTATGTCCCAGTCCCTCTTTTGCAGCTCCTCTGTTCCACTCCCCCTGCCACCTGCTTTTCAGATTCTATGGGCACTGAGCATGCTCAGGCTGAATTAGACTGTTTTGGAGGGTTCCTGGGGGGGGGAGTGCATGGAGGGTGCATAAGTAGATGGCACGTACAGCATGAACATTGGAAATAGAAGGGTGTGTGTGTGTTTCAGATAATGCTGCTTTTAGAAAGGCAAAAAGCTGCCCAAGGGAAGAGGCCCTTTTATGTGGAACCAGTGAAGCTTCAGTGGTTGAGGTAACTAATGGGAAATGGGGAAGGAAGCCCAATACAGACAATTCTGCCAACGAGGAAGAGAGATGAAGATACCAAAGACTGGCTGGGATCACTGAGTAAAACCCTTAAGCGCCCCTGGGAAGCAGTGTTCCTTCTAAAAAGTCTCTGATGCCTTGGTGGATTTAATTCAGAAGGGATTTACATACTAAAATGCCTGTGGCAGAGCAGAGGAAAGCGGGCTGGGCTGGGGGGCAGAATTGCAGGGCTCGTTTGGATCTGGAAGCCAGAGACAACCTACCCCCCCAACATGCTGGTCACACAGGGGAGCAGCAAACCTGTTGAGATACGGAGAAGGAAGAGGAGAAACAGCTGCAAGGGCTGGAAAGAGGGTGGGGGAAAATCTTTGGATAACTGGCTGGGGGGGCATTTATCCACATTTGAGCTCATCTGGGAACTTGAACCACTTTCTGCTGCAAATACTGAGCGCCCCACTCTCCAGCTGCACCTGCTTCCAAAGTGTGGCTACATCCACAGTATGCACTGAACCCCCCAACTGCTATACTACTTAAACCATCCTGCTTCCCCCAAAGAATCCTGGGAACGGTAGTTTGTAAATGGAGAGCCCACTTCCTCTCACAGAGCTACAGCTCCTGGAGTTCACTGGGGAGGGAGGGGGGGTTGATGCTTAAGTCATTCTGGGAATTGTAGCCCTGTGAGCAGATTTCCTCATAAATTCCTGCGCCCGGAAGCTGCAATCCCCAGGATTCTTTGGGGGAGACCACGACTGTTTAAAGTGCTAAGGCAGTGCTTTAAACATCTAGCACAGATGGGGCTTTTGAGCAGCAATGGCTCTGGATTTCGCACGGCCCTTTGGCAAGACGCCCTTGCCCCCGCCTCCGTCAGAGGGTCTGCCTCTTTGCCATGATGAGCCACAGCTCCTCCAGCCACTCCTCCACCTCCTCCTTGCTCCCACTGGCTAGGCCAAAAGCCTGTGATCATCACTCTTGTCTGAGGAGAAGCAAGGAGGTTCACTTCTGCATACGTAACAGTTCCCATGAAGAAGAGGAGGGCTTGGTCTGGTGGCAAAGTGGCTCTTGGGGTACAAACAATCAGCAGGTGCCTGGACACCAGCCCAGACCACGTGCTCCGGTTTTTAGGCAGGCTCCCCAGTAGCCAATCAGCAGTCGGTGCAAAGTCCCAGTTAGTAGGTTGGACAAGGAGTGGTGAGGCATTCTCACTTAGGTGCCAAGTACTCTGGGTGACTTGGCCCAACCACCTGCTCTCAACCTAGCCTACCTCACAAGGTTGTCCTGAGGCTGATAGCCAATGGGGAGAGCCCTATTTGGCTTGATTCCTGCATGCAAGTTTCCCACAGGCATCTTGCTTGCCATTGAGGGAACTGGATGAGCCATTGGCCTGATTCTTGTCTCTCTCTCCTCACCTGGCTTCCCTGGGAAGGAAGGTCATGGGCTGCTGTGTCATCACCGCTGGCAAGTCACCCAGGCCATGCATCTGTTGCCCTCCATATCACTGGGCTGCATGTGAACCAGCCTAGTGGGGATAATGGTGCCAGCCTGATGAAGCCATAGCACAACATAGCCAATCAGAGGGGGTTATGGGATCACCTGACTTCCCTGGTCAGGAGGGTCAGGAGCCAGAAGGATAATCAGAACTCTTCAAGCTACAGTCGAGAATTGTTTTCCTCCTTCAACTTGCAGACCTCCTGATCACCTTTCCTGGCTCAGGTGTGACACCAACCTTGTGGCTCCCTCAACTCACACAGTGACCCTTCAGACAGGGCTGCCTTGAGAGGACTTTGTGAGTATCTAACCAGCTGGCTGCTCCTTCTAGTTTAATTTTTTCAAAAAACACCCAACTTGCCCCCCCCCGGGATGTTTAGAGTTAAATCAAGAGTGCAGGTGCCTTGAGCAGAGAAAGAGAGGAAGTGAAAAGCCCACGTTATGACTATTAAGATGAAAAAGTATGACAGCTGCAACATCCAGTCTTTTTTTTTTTTTTAAAAAAGGAAAAGAGCACTTTAAAAGACAGAGAAATTTCCCCAGGAAATTGCACTATCCGTCAAAGCCCCTGTCAGTTACTTAAATGCTGGAATGGCACAGGTCTAGTCTAAACACCTTGGCTCCATCAGCTGAGCAGAAATGAAATTTCAAAATCCATATAAAATAAACAAATGAGGTTTTGACAAAAAAAAGTTTCAAATGTGGCTACATTTTCTTGACAGCCCATTCGATCCTGTTAGCAATATAGTTTCCCTTTCCCAAGCGAATGAAATGAATTAGCTAGCTATGGAAGGGAGACTTGGGGCAAATTTCATGGGCAAACACCTTTGGTATTGCAGAGGGAGCTTTGGCACTCACAGCTGTTTCCTGAAAGACTCTTTCCTGATCTTTTCACCCTCTTTTCTTCTGCTCAGCTCTTGTTCCAGCCAAGCAGGGATCAAGTAGCCAGCATGATGATGCCACAGCACAGCATAGCCAATCAGATACAATTACTGGATGACATCATAATAGCATATCAGACCACAGGAAATGCTTCCTGCCTTTATTCTGAAGGGAGAATATTTACTCCCAGCTTCAAGGCCTCCCCAGTTATTGCTAAAGTGGGTAGGTTTTGCAGGAGGCGTTGCTTATTTTCATATATCTCCTGCATCTGGGTGCATTATTTATTAAATTATATTTTGATCCAACCATCCTTTCAAGGAGCTTCTCCAGTTTATCATCGTAACAATCCTGTTTTAGGGCAGCTAGGCAGAGAGTACGCCTATAAGGGACCCCTATATGGGACGCATAGTCTCCACTGGCCCACATCTCTGGGCCAGTGATAATTTCAAGTGCAAGAAGCAAGGTCATCACATTTGGGCATTTTCTGCCCATCACAGGTGGAAGGGGACAGGGAAACTCTGAGTACGATGGCATCTTGAGTCTCCTCAAACTCAGTATCACAAAGGAGGTCTGGGGAAAAGGATGCTCATCAGCAGCATTCCTTGCGCCATTTGTGCCTAGCCTACTTTGCAAGGTCATTGTGCGGATGAAATGGAGGAAGCACCCAAGAAAGTGGAAGGAGAAGATGCAGGTTGGTTGTGAGCAAGCAAGGGCAGCTGCACGTGGCAACATGGCATGGCAACCTGGCCCTCCGACTCCGGGTTCTACCCAGGAGTCCACGCAACTGTCGTAGGGATGCGTCCTTTACCAACCAGCCAGTTTCAGCCCGGCCATGTTTCTAATTGAACCTCTGACCAACAGCAACCAAGTATTCCTCCCTTGGAGTGGTTTGGGCGATGGGAAGCGGGATGACGGATCCTCAGTCATTCCGTACTCTGTGAACTTTGCTTGGGCAGAGAGGCAGGACTCAATGACTTCTTTCTAATCCAGTTTGGGTGGGGGTAATGCAAGGAAAGGTGTTAGCAAAGCACATAATATTAGAGGGAGGTTTTTTGTTTTTTTTTTAGGGCGCCCTCAGAATAATTCATGGGGAGAGCAGGCTTCACTCAGCTGGGCCTCCAAAAGCACAGGAGATTATTTCCATTGCTTCATGTTTGGCTGGCTTACTCCTAAAACTATTAGTGGAGTAAACAGAGTTCTTCAGATGGCACATTGTATGACTTATCAATAAATGCACCTTCTTATAAATCACCTCACTAGAGGGCAGGTAGAAGAATCCTAGTCTTTCCCCTGAAAAGTCAGTTTTAAGAACCTAAGAAGAGCCTTTCTGGATCCGGCCAGTGGCCCATCTGGTCCAGCCTCCTGTTCTCCCCATGGCCAGCCAGATGCCTGTGGGAAACCAGCAAGCAGGATTCAAGCACAAGAGCAGCCCTCACAGCTCCAGTGATTCCCAGTAACTGGTATTCAGAAGTATCACTACCATCAACTGTGAATGCAGACAATAGGCATCATGACTAGTAGCCATCAATAGCCCCCTCTTCCATGAATCTGTCTACTGCTCTTTTAAAGCTGTCTAGGTTGGTGGCCATCACTGCCTCCTGTGGCAGGGAGTTCCATAGTTTAACTATGCGCTGGGGAAGAAGAAGAAGAGGGGAGGAGCGGAGGCGGGTGCTCTAGCTTCTTAGTGGGCATCCTTTCTCACTGAGAGGGAGGCTGTGGTCACAGCAATACAGCCTGCTGCTGCCTCTCATAGACGAAGCCAGGGGTCAGCAACCTTTTTCAGCCGTGGGCCAGTCCACCGTCCCTCAGACCATGTGGTGGGCCGGACTATATTTTGAAGAAAATTAATAAACAAATTCCTATGCCCCACAAATAACCCAGAGATGCATTTTAAATAAAAGGACACATTCCACTCATGTAAAAACACACAGATTCCTGGACCATCAGCGGACCAGATTTAGAAGGTGATTGGGCTGGATCTGGCCCCCGGGCCTTAGTTTGCCTACCTATGACCCAGGCAATCACCTCAATGCATTGAGAAGACTAAGCCATAGGTAGGCAAACTAAGGGCCAGGGGCCGGATCTGGCCCAATCGCCTTCTAAATCTGGCCCATGGACATGCTTTTACATGAGTAGAATGTGTTCTTTTATTTAAAATGTATTTATACCCTGCCCATCACACTGGGTTTCCCCAGCATCTCTGAGCAGCTTCCAACATATATAAAAACATAAGAAAACATTAAACATTTAAAATGTTCCGTATACAGGATTGCCTTCAGGCAGCTTGGGGGTCGGATAACTCCATACCCTTCAGCATTTCTCCCATGAAAACAGGACCATCCTAAGGAAAAGCAGGACACTCTGCGATCAAATCAGAAACCGGAATGACTTCTCTAAATCAGGGACGTTCCTGGAAAATGGGGACACTTGGAGGACCTGACATTGGTTGCTCTGCATGCTTTTGTCTCTGGCCCAGCCCACCACGGACATGTGGTCCGCCCCGACATATGTGTCACACAGGCCACTGATCCTTCCCTTGGCAGCTCCTGAGCACCACACAGCTGGCTGAGCCAGCAGGCCGCAGGAAACAAGCTCCTGCAGATCCTGGCACAGAAATGTTCCCCACCCCCACCCCTACTCGACTGCACACCTGCAGAGACCAGCAAGAGAGCAGAAGGACCTGCGAGGCAGAATCCAGCACTGCCTCCTTGCACAATTGTGCCCCCCCCCCAAGTGTGTATGGCAAAGCCAGCAAACAAGAGACGCAGCATGAAATAACTGCAGATAATTAAAGGATTGGAGAGCCGTATCTCGGGAGAAGCAGGGAGTTTTTCATTATCCATAAATAGCTCACTTTGCAGAACTGCTTAACTCCTCATTCCTTTGCATGTGCACTCGCTCACAGAAGTATGGCTCCCACAAAAGCAGCATTTGCATTTGCAGAAGGTGGAAAGTTCATGGGTGCACTTAAAAGCCCGTCTGAATATGCAGAGGCCTTCGGGTGGCTTGCACCATCTGGGTGTGGTTTCCCAAATGCTGCCTTGTGGCCAGTTTGGACCCCCCCGGTGGGCCAAGACTGGCTTGCGGGCCAGAGGCTCCACACCCCTGGACTACACTGACTGGCAGCAGCTCTCCAGTTTTTCACACAAGAGATGCCAGGGATTGAACCTGGCAACTTCTGCATGCAAAACAGATGCTCCATCCCTGAGCTATTATCCTTCAGCTAAAAATAATGTAAGATTCTGGTCCTCATGAACTGCCCCCCCCCAATACAGCAAACAGCATAGCCTGCCACAAAATATTGGAAGTGTAGAATGCTCCTGGGACGCGGGTGGCGTTGTGGGTAAAAGCCTCAGCGCCTAGGGCTTCCCGATCGAAAGGTCGGTGGTTCGAATCCCTGCGGCGGGGTGCGCTCCCGTTGCTCGGTCCCAGCGCCTGCCAACCTAGCAGTTCGAAAGCACCCCCGGGTGCAAGTAGATAAATAGGGACCGCTTACTAGCGGGAAGGTAAACGGCGTTTCCGTGTGCTGCGCTGGCTCGCCAGATGCAGCTTGTCATGCTGGCCACGTGACCCGGAAGTGTCTCCGGACAGTGCTGGCCCCTGGCCTCTTGAGTGAGATGGGCGCACAACCCTAGAGTCTGTCAAGACTGGCCCGTATGGGCAGGGGTACCTTTACCTTACCTTTACCTTAGAATGCTCCTGTTCAGGGTTCCAGCCCAGGTTGGTAATCTGGCTGGTGTGTTTGCTCCGGGGAGGAAGGGGGTGGCTTCCTTCATCTTCCCATGAATTGCACTCCCACATGCACATACCCCCACCTCCTGTGCTGTTGAAGCAGGCAGTGCCAGGTGAGGGCTACACAGCAGAAGATGCAGGACATATTGGTAAAAGGAGCATGAAAGGGACACAGAAAGCCGTTGGCACATGGCCCTGCTCAGGGCCACTGGGGATCAGAGCACCATAGCAGGGGGCTGAGTGAGGGGGTGAGAGTCAGTTCCAACACTGGCACTAAGCCCAGAAGTGTCTGGCACATGAGCAGCATAGCACTGCAATTGGCTTTGATGGTTCTTGCACCATAAGACTGCAAGGTCTTTTTCTTAATCTGGAAGCAAATACCAGAATATAAAAGATGTCGCAGGACATCTTTCTTGCCATTTAAGATTTGTTCTTTCTATGGAGAAAGCTGCCTTGCCCACAGTTTTGTATGCCTAGGTTATGTCCAGGTCAGATTACTGCAGTGTTCTACACGTGGGGCTACAGCTGAAGATGGTTTGGCAACTGGTACTTCTACAGAAAAAGAGTGAGGCAGCTTGTGGGAGTTGGGCCAGGATTCTGCATTGGTTACATGGGCTGCCTCTGTCTTTATCAGGCTTATGGGAGGTGCTGGGATTGGCCTTTAAAGCCCCCCCATCAGGGAGTCATTGGCAGTGGGTGCTACAGCCCTGAAAGTTCTTCTCAAGCTCAGATTTGAGTCTTTGGTCGGGATATCAGAGAATTCCTATGAAAATGGAAATGGGAACAGGAATTGCTAATGTTTGCTTATTTGTGCCATGTGCATAAAAGAAACCCATCCCGTTATCAGTATTCACTGTTGCTGCTGCTTTCTTTCCTCAAATTATACATGATTGCATGCACATGCAGCCATTTACAATGTGTTTCCTTGGCACTGAAATTGATGGAGTGGAGCAGAAAGCCATGCCTTCTTGCATCCCTAGTCTTGAGGGTCTTTTGGAAAGCTCACGGATAAAGAAGCAATGTGACCTCATGGAGAGCCATATTCCAGAAGTACTGGGGACACCACCCAAAAAGCCCTGTCCCCAGTACCCATCATCCTAACCTCTCTTATTGAAGGGCCCATGGAGCAGGACTCCCAGCAGAGATTTTGGGTGAGATCTCACCCCGAATTGGAGCGATCCTGCCTGAAATTGGTGCAGATGGCGGCGCCACTTCTTCTTCAGCAGCAGATGGGGCACATTGCGCAGTGCTGGTGGCGGCAGTGGCAGCAGCAACAGTGACAGCGCCGGCAGGAGCAGGAGCAGGGGCAGGGGCAGGGGCAGGGTGGCACTTCCCATTTCTCCTCACACGGAAAAATGGGATACCCCCAAAGGGGGGTATAAATGCAAGCAAGGAAGGATGGCTGAGCAAATGGAAAACCCTGGAACTGACAAAAGCATTATTTCAGGTTTGACTGTTACCAATGAGGAAGTCAGGTATTGCAAACCCAAATAAGGATGGATGCCATTTTAATGCTGAACTGGAGCAAAGTGGACCTTCTAAGGATCCTACCAAATGTTCCCTCCTCAACGGAAGATGCACAAAGTCTACTGAGCTGAGAGTCCTAATGCAGGAATATTGTGTGTAGTTACTCTGAACTCATTTTCTTCTCTTATTAGCACCACAGAAGCCTTTTCTACAAGTTTCCCAAGCTTCCTTCATAGCTGAGAGTTGATGACAAAACATTGCTTTTTCCGAAGGGGGTGTGGACTGGGGCTGCAGGATGGGGAAAGTGGTGGTGGCTGACCACTTGCTCCTATGGAAACAGTGGAGAAGACAACTTGCCGTCTTAAGTTCTCAGAGTTACATATTTGCTGAAAAGCAGAGGGCTGTCCTGACCAGAAACAACATGAAAGGCCTTGGGAAATTTGTGCATCTGCAGGGTACCAGGAAGCTTGGTATCTGCAGGAGGTTACCAAGGATGACCCCCGCTCCAAAACATGATGCTGCCCATCTTCACCCTAAAGTGGTACATTCCTTTACACCACATCAGGACTCAGCCACCTGATTCTACCAACATCCATGGGAGGTTCCCAGTGGACTACCTTGTGTGAGAGATCTTGCTGGTACCAAGGAGAACTCTGTGGAACAGCATCAAGACACCATATATCCGGTTCTAATGGAGGTCCCTCTTGTTATCGTTTTAATAAATCCCCCATTACAGAAGCCAGGGCCATCTCTGAAAGCCTGTTAGCAATTAATACAAATTCATTAGCCAGCCGGCCTCCATATCTGTGGCACTGTCCTGCCCTCTCAGACACAATAAATCCACTCAAATGGGCTTTTTAATCATTGCCTAGCAGAACTCCAAACACAAGGATGGTTAATTATAATGGAAGCCAATTGCCTTTTTGATATCCTTCACTGTTGAAATCATTTGCAATTATCAAATTACATTCTGCCAACTGGCTTGCCTCAAGGGGTCAGTCTGTTAGCAAGCCTAGGGAGGCCATATGAGCACATGAGGGGATTATAAATATGGATGTTGAGTGACAACAAGATGTCAACCAGGAGGTATGGCAGGAGAGAGTGTAAGGTTTAGATGAGACAAAAGATCCATCTGCGCCAACAGTCTCTGGCTAAGTATGAGCAGCCAAGGGTTTGGGCCCCACCAAGCAAGGGATGGAAGAGATGGTCCTGTTCCATGAATGTCCCTGGCCCCAGGCATTCAACCATCCGCTGCAGGGATGGGGATCCCAGGCCTCTCCAGGTGTTGCTAGATTCCAGTTCCCATCAGTCCCAGGCAGCAGGGCTGGCCCAAGACATCTTGGCACCTGAGCTGAACCACCAATGGGCACCCATCCCCCCCAGTTTAGTGAATGTGGGAGGGGGGACTATGTGCCACACCAACAGATAACTGGAAAGAAATAAAATTTAAAATAGATAGAGGGCTTGTTCAGACTTCCTTTTGTGCCACACTTTCCAGGCACAGATCTGTGTTTTAAAGCTCCAAGTGCCCCCTCCCCCCGTCTTGGTGCTTTCCCTGGGGAAACCTGTGCTTTACCACTAAATTGAGGCAAACAACAATCCACAGAAAACCCAATTGCCATTTGCTCAAATTCAGTAGTCAAATGCAGGTTTTTCGGGGAAAGCACCAGGACAAAAAACAAACCCCAAAACAAAAAACCCCACCCTGCCCAGACATGGAGCTTTAAAAGCTATACCTGCGCCTTGAAATGTGGCACAAAAGGCAGTCTGGGAAAAACATCTTTGTCTTACACCCTACAGTTCAAAACAAGGCATCCCTCATATGCAAAACGGCCACCTTTACATTGCTTGGTGCCTTGCAGTTCCACACCAGAGAGACAGGGTGAATTTCACAGCTACGTGTGCCAGTCTATGCACTCTGGTGTGTGAGTGAGTACAACTGAACTTAGACTGACTCTGAATAAGCATCCATAGGTTTATGCTGTGGATCCTAAAGACTGACTGACATGAAGCAACTAAGCAGAGCAACTGGAGAAAGGAAAAATTAAAGAAATACTTTTTAAAATAATGAAATCAAAATGCCCAGGCCACAGTCACTCCACCATGATTTCTTCTCTTCAAATTAAATACAAATGATTGTGCCATCCCTAGGTCCCCAACATCAGGCAAGAGGCAGGAAAAAAATGAAATGCTGTATATTCATAGAGCTTTTACAGGCATTATCTCAGAAATCCTTACAACCACTCTGTGTTATGCAATCTCACAATGTCTTGTACAAGCTAGGTTCCCCTCTCTCATTTTCTGGAGCGGGAGGGGAAGACACCAGGAACAGTCCAGGATGCTGCGCGTATGCTTCTGTCACTGTTTTCTGATTGACTCCAGCAAATCTCATGAGATCTTAGAAGAGCTGGGGTCACCACAGGGGTAACAGGGGAGAAGTTTGCATCCACAATAAACCACCTTGAGCACATTCTACAATTTTGCTCCATTTCCCACCCCCTCAAGATAATGGACTTGAAGTCAAGACTGCATTCTCATTGCTCCCCCAGTGTTTGGGCTCTGGGGTCCTCACTTGTCAGTTGCCCACCAATATTGCAGTGGTACACTTAGATAACTTTAGATCCTGGGCTTAATGGTCTTATGGAGCAGGGGACTATTGAGATGGTCATGTATGTTACTTCACTTCCATCAAATGGCTCTTTAGATGGTAGTCTTTACTATTTCTCCTGCTCTGAAATGAGATCAACCAGCCCTGCTGCCTTTGAGGTCCCCTCTTGCTTATTCTGTTTAGTTGAGTCCTGGATGTCTGCCCCAAAGTCTGACTCAAATAGCATCACTTCACCAAATTGACACAATAAGAGCAGGCAGCTGCTCCCAGCAAGCTTGTTGGTGATGATGGTCTTCCACTGATGTTGTGACTCCTGATAGGTGAGTCCCGAAGGAGTTTCACCTCCATTGTTCTGGTCTCCTAGCAACAATGCTCACCAAATTCAAAGCCTAGGGGCAGTTTCAACAACAT